GTAAGCCGCCTTCTTGGATCACATTTGCTTTATGGGTGATCATCTGTTGTTGTTCATAACACACATACTTAAGAATCCCCTGCTGCTGATGTACACCCTAAAGAGAACCCATTTTAGCATTCCAAATGGTAACGTTATATACAGGCCCGTGTAGAAGTTACATTGACGAGGAAAAATATTTACAGAGAATGATCAAGTATGTCATTTTGAGGGGGTAGAGAGAGACATAATTTGAACTGGTCTAACTCAATCAGGTGTAAATTGCAATACTGCCCCCAGGTGGAGATAAAGGTACCTGGTGGTTAAGTGAGTTGACTCCCGCAGTACAATCTTTATTGAGATAAGGCACACGTTTGACTTTTGAAAATCCCATGGAACAACACTACAAATTGAATTGAAAGGTAAATTCGGTGCATTCTTCCATTTAAATAAAGAGTATTGATATTTTTGTGCCGATCAGTACATGTCACTGGCATAGTCGATAGATAAACCATTTTATAGCTGTAAAAATGAATAATAATTTTGAGAACATTTCAGTTAAATTGGATAATACTTCCTTGAGATGTTTGTTTTCCATTCCAGGTGAGTTTGGAGAGGTGTGCAGTGGCCGACTGAGAACACCCGGCAAGAAGGAGATAGCTGTGGCAATAAAGACACTGAAAGGTGGCTATGTGGAGCGTCAGAGGCGGGACTTCCTACGTGAGGCTTCTATCATGGGGCAGTTTGATCACCCCAACATCATCAGGCTGGAGGGTGTCGTCACAAAAAGTATGAAAGCCAACCACTGTTGCAGATCACAGCCACACTTTTTTTTAATATAGTTATAAGCACAGCGCACAGCCTTGAAACTGTACTCGGCACCTCAGTCAGAATACAAAGAGCTAAATTTCGTCTTTTGTGTTTCCAGTTCTATTCAAAGTAACACCATAATTCCCTCAATTGTAAAGGCACAATCAATCGCAGAATTTCCCACAATATTTCAATGCAAAATCTACGGTCCACAGATACTCAACTCCGATAAAGGCTGTTTGCTCCGGTCATTTGATTATTTTTATTCTCATTTCTAAAATCCTTGCACCTTACTCAACTGTTTTTTTCCTGATTTATACACGACCGTTAAATCATCTGTATGCTGTTTTGTTTTGGTTGTGAAGTTTATATATGTGTGTTGTCTGCGAGACTGTTGTAATAATATAATGTGAGCATTATACATAGATTATCCTCTGGTGTGTGCGTGAGTGTGTAGCGCCAGGTGTCATTTTTACGGAGGGGTAAATTTTATGATTGCAAAGTGTGTGTGTGTGTGTGTGTGTGTGTGTGTGTGTGTGTGTGGAGCAGTGACTTGCTAAGGACCGCTCTTTTATGGGGCTCACCCAGCGCAACATATGGTTGTTTTTACACAGGCTGTATAAACTGAGACAACTTTCTGAATGTAAATATGTTCCTTGAAGACTTTCAGCCCCTCACTAAGACCAAAAAAAGATAACCTGAGTTTATCTCACAATACTGAGATTCTTTATCTTGCTAAACATTTTATTGTAAAATGGTGGTTATCTAAAGCTATACTCATATACTTATAGGAAAGACTTTGGTTTAGTAACAAACAAATTACATCTCACAGTATATACCTGGAATACTATAGCACCTTTTATTATCTGGTGTGTTTATTCCAAATTCGAAATGTTAGGGCAAGACTAAAAACGCTCATGGGGCTTGATTTACCAAGATCCCGCATAGCAGGAGCTCAATCACATTTTCATCACTGTAACAGATTGCTTGCACACGTGGTAGCAGGTGTAAAAGTGGGTTGTATTTACAAAGTAAGAGGGTTTTGCACTTTAAGGTTGCTCTGATGGTTTTCTCGGAGGAACAAAAGCGCCACAAGCGTAAAATGAAGTTTGAAGTGATGGAATTGAAAGTGTTAGTAAAAGAGGCAAGCAAACATTGTGGAGTTACAGAAAATAAATTGATTGCTCTGATCAATTTGGGGATGCCAATGACTGAAGAAAAGCCTTGCTTTATTTGGTGTAACTTGTCCTGAATGCATGTGAATTGGATGCACAGGTACAGCATGTGCCCATTATGCATAACATTATGTTTAAAACTTGGGGTGATACACCTGCAAAACTGCACTGCGAGAGGCCGGGCTCGGTTGTCAAATGCAAAGTTGAAAGGAGTTTTGTCATCAGTGCTATGGCATGACTCCATCTTGTGACTGCTGGAGGTTTGGGCACTTCAGTAAGTAGTTAGGAAGCAGGCGAATTGTTCAAAACCTACTTTCATTTTTTTTCCCCTCTGATTATACCGTATTGGCCCGAATATAAGACGGTGTTTTTGGCATTGAAATAAGACTGAAAAAGTGGGGCCGTCTTATATTCGGGATCTAGATATTATACCCATTCACGACGCTAGATGGCACCAGATATCAATGAAGCGAATGCTGAACTTGACTACCCAGGCCAAAGTGAACCCCTGCCAGGAAGAATAAAAATAAAAATAGCAGGAGCACGAAGAAGAAAAATAAAAAATAGCGATAAGAAGGAAAAGAGAAGAAAATAATAGAAGAGATAACAGAAAATGGAGAAACGTAGTGACAATCTGGAGAAAAGTGGGTTGAAGATCGGCCAGGTTAACCAGCAGCTGAGGAGAAGTTATGATGTAATTTACATTTCAAAAACCAGAAGCCATTCATTTACGAATGTGATTGCACTTTAGATTTGAATGAAGCCAAATAACATGCTTTTTCTCTCAAATATATTGTTATAATCATTTATTTCAGATGTAATTATTTTCTGTATAAAAATTAATTTGGTGTTCAAAAAGTCTTTTTTCAAACTTGAGTCTTGAAAAAGAGGGGGTCGTCTTATAATCAGGGCCGTCTTATATTCGGGCCAATACGGTATTTTTCAAATGTGAAATTTATGTCACCAGATTCAAAGTGCCTTTGGAGAGGGTATATCAATAGTTTAGGATAAGCGGGTCCGATAATCAATGGATTGTTGTCTGACATTATAACTGGGGGAGGAGGCCATTAAAAATGTATATTCCACCCTGTATTATACACAGAGTACAGTCCAATCAGGCACAATTTGTGCTTGGCAGTATGATTCATCTGTCCTTTCATCAAAATGTCCCTTTTTCTGTCTGTCTGTCTGTCTCACTTCCTCCCTCCATCTGTCAGTCCCTCCATCTGTTGTTGTTCTTTGGAGACTAATTATGGTGAGTATTGTGCTGTGACTGACAGCCATACCTGCACTGAAATAACAGATGACACACTAGACTGGAAAGCAGGTGCATTTGTTTTTTGTTGGGCTTTTTTTTTTTTTTTGGGGAGGGGGGGTGCTCATGAACTGTACTACAGAATGTCGATGGTACAGATCCTCCTAATTAGTCCTGCTCAGCCAAACAAATGAACAAAAACCAAATCAAAAAACAAAAAAATGAAAGTTAATGTTTTGCTTTGTTCAAAATAAGTTGACCTTCATTGGATCGCATGCTTGTCACACGTCATAGTGGCAGTGCACATCTCAGAGTCGCTGCCAGGAATTTGTGGCCCTTGGTGGCTTTGTCTCTCGTGACTTGAGGGAGACAGAGTTGAGCTTTTATCAGCCTCTGTCTTGTTGAAAATGAGAGTTTGCCGCCATCTTGTGGCATCTACAAACCTCTTTAGGAGAGGTCAGTTGCAGATTTGTGACAGGGCTTGGTATCGATCCCTGTCAAATGGCTATTCGCTATTGAATAGAAAGACCAATACTGTAATTGACGTCCTTTATTTTATTTTTTTTTGTCTCTAAGTTGAGATGTGTCACAACACAGTTCAATGACACAAGACAGAGCTTTTGGTGCCATCTTGTTGTGACATCTAATGATGTTTCAGAGCACACTAAAAAGAAAAAAAGGTGTTTTTTTTTTTTTTTTAGCAAATAATGGAAGATAGGTTCCCAATAAGATATGCTAATACGTCAATGTGCGAGTACCAAATCTTTTTTTTTTTTTACTCACACTGTCATTATTTTTTTCTTTCTCATTTTTTTTTAGCTCTGCCTTTATTTTATGTTATCTAAATAAGACTCCATTTTTTATGCTAATGGTTCACCACCTTCCTCTACGTATTGTCATTTGACTTGTTTTGACTCATATTTAGTTGTGAGGACTTGTCACCTCACTTCACCCGATGCAGTTCCCGTGCTCTTGTTGTGTTCCTTCTAGCGGGTGCTGTTGTTCAGTTCAGTTCTGTTTTTCACTTTGTTTCACCCGTCCGATCGCTTTTCTTTTGGTCTATGTTTTCTCCAAATAAGTCCCTTTTTGTGCATTTGGACTCTTTCACTTGTCTGCTTCTGAGGCCACCCGCCTTTATAATGCTGTTTTGGTGACATGATGCTCTGCACTTTCACTGTTCTTTCATTGTCAGAAATAAAAGCAGTGAGGTCAAACAAAGGAGCTGTTGTTCAACTTCTTGTTGATGCATTCAGTTTCAGAATACACTTTCTGTCATTACATATTGTGCTCTTGCATCATTACATAGAAAACATGTTGCTTGTCAGTATCCTCCACCCGTCTTCTTCACGCAGACAGATTGTTTTTTTTCCACATTCTCCGGTGAGCAAACACTGGAATAATGCATTATGTAAGCTTTTATTTCACCATAGTAAGACTTTTTTTTTTTTTTTTTGGTGGGGCTCGCTTTCACTGTTAAGCAACTCCTGCCTCCAAGTTGTCACAGAGTTGCTCTCTTGCTCCAAAGGGATCTTTGAAGGAACATATGTCATTGCAGGAATATTTCAAGTCTGACGTTTAAATCAGTCACAAACCAATTCAATGTGCTGAGGGGAAGGGATATATTTTGTTGAAATAACTGACTTATTGCATCAGCTGTTTTGAATTTACCGTTTGTTCGCTATCCCTTCGCGTCTTTGTGAGAATAGGTGGACTCGAGACATTTAGGGAACTTTGCAGAAAAATTCACGATGAAGGGTGTTTTTGTGCTTGTGCTTTTGCAGGCAGGCCAGTGATGATTGTGGTGGAGTATATGGAAAATGGATCACTGGACTCATTTTTGAGGGTAAGTGGGTTTTTGTCTGAGAGAATGCACGTGTGCGCTCCTAATGTCACAGTAGCCTTTTGCCGGTGTGTACCCTAGTTTAGTTGTTTGTGTCGTAAATTCAAAATTATAGTACGAATTATTGAAAGAGGTATTGCTTTCAACAATTAGTGGGTTGTTTTTTTTTTATGTTTGTTAATTAAAATTACATCTGTTAATTAAGTGTACATCTAATTTAGGTCAAACTTAAAGTAGAGCGGTGATGTAGACTGTATGCTAAGCAATAAATAATTGGTGATGTACTGTGTACTAAATGTTGATACAAACGCTAGTAAAAATCTATTAATTTTTTGTTCAGTGTTTGAATTGTTCCCCGTGCTTCAAAATGTCCCTTTTTTCATTTTAGGTCAATATTGTCATTCTTCCTGTCCCAATGTTACAAGTGAAAGAAATAGTTCAAAATCATGTGCTTGCTATAAATGTATTTTGTTTTTCTTTGACTAGATTCTCAGTCATCTGGTCATGGTAATCCACAAAGGCTGAATTGAAGCAACTGGACTATTCTCATTTATTATATTTGTTATTTTTTCTTTTTTTTTCCAGAAAATGATCAAAAATGACATAGCCATTCTGCCGTACAGGCGAATGTTAGATTTCCATTCTGGCAGATGTCTGTTGTATGCCATTCTTGTATCGCTTTGTATTTGGTCTAGGCAGCAATATGGAAAATAATGTATTTTACTCTGTGTGCAATTATTTTGAGTGTTCCTTCTGCCTTTATTTTTGCCCTCAATCTTATCCACCATCCAGTTCCTGTCCTGGCTATACTGTCCATCCCGCCCTCCCCTCCCCAATTTACTGTCTGTTCATTTTGTGTGTTCCCTCCTCTCCCTGTCAGCAACACGATGGTCACTTCACTGTCATTCAGCTGGTGGGCATGCTACGTGGCATCGCCTCAGGAATGATGTATCTGTCAGACATGGGCTACGTTCATCGAGACCTGGCAGCTCGAAACATCTTAGTCAACAGCAACCTGGTGTGTAAAGTGTCAGATTTCGGTCTGTCCCGAATCCTGGAGGATGATCCCGAGGCTGCGTACACGACGACGGTACACCAAAACTCTATGAAAGTATTCATTGTGAAATGGAAATTTTAATTACCGTATACAAATGAGAAGAATTTTGAGCTTTTGGCTCATTTTGTGCGCCATGCTAATAGCTTATCCAGTTGTTCCTGATGTTCCCAAAAAATATATTTTGTTCTTGTTATGAAACCTCACTTACAGCCGCATTTTAAAAAGGTTGTTTTCACATACTGTCTACACTAGTGAATTCACTCGCATGTGCATTCATTCATATTTGTTTGTGTAAGCAGGGTGGAAAGATCCCAATCCGATGGACAGCTCCAGAAGCCATTTCATACCGAAAATTCTCCTCAGCCAGTGATGCGTGGAGTTATGGCATTGTCATGTGGGAAGTGATGTCCTATGGGGAGCGGCCATATTGGGAGATGTCTAATCAGGACGTGAGTGCTGTTTGTGTTGTGAAATCAATGTTCCTTTCAGTTTGTAAAAGAACCACAGAATTATTGTAGGAAATGTCGAACACAATTCATTCTGGGCCCATGGTCAAAGTTCAGTTTTTCCTCATTTCCACTTAAATAATGGAAAAGAAATTTTGTTCCAGGGTCACACTTTTGAGATCATGAGGTCAGCATGGTGGCCTGGTAGTTTACACTTTTGCCTCATGGTTTTGGCGAATTTACCCATTGTGGGACTAATAAAAGGTGGCTTGTAAAACATTAGCCTTTGAAATATATTACCGGTATACAATCGGAGAGGTGGGTCCCCCTCTGAACCTGGCCCAATTGATCAATGAAGAAATATTCATAGCAGAGCCTCCGAGTGGTTGACCCAGCTCTTGGCCAGCTCAGTCGGTGCAAATCATGTCCATAACGATCGGAGCAGAATCCATACAGCGACATCCAATTTGGGTCATCATTACCTAGCCCCCCTCTCCCGATCAAGGAGGAGGGGGAAGGACAAACAGAGGAAACGGCAGCACAAACAGGCAACATACTGTATATTTCAACAAAATGCAAGTGTATATTAAGTGTAAAGTGTCTTATCCCATGTTATTTATATTTGCCTATTGGTCCCTTTTTGTCAATTTTCGGCCATACTACAGCTTCATGTGTCAAACTCCACGCCTAGGTCAAGACAAGTCAAAAGTGTGTCACTTTTTAATTAATTTTTTTAATCCGCACTGACATTCTGATTTCTCTTCAATTTTAACCATGTCATTATCATTTAATTTCATCATGCCTATTTTTAACATAAAATTGACAATGTTGTACACCATAATAATTGCCTGCTATAACTTTACATTTCAAATTAACTCTTTCATTCCACAAGACGTACTTGTACGTCTTTTTAAAATTAGGCCCCGCCCACCAAGGACGTACTTGTACATCGGTCTTTTTTTTGCGTCATAGAGAGGAGGCATGTCTGATGCAATCTGTAAATGAGAATAAGCCGTTTGCATTGTAAATCATGTAAAAAAGCGACCAGTAGGTGGCAGTGGTGCCTCACGTGCTTGAAATGCATGCTTTTACAAAAGCTTTTTTTCTCAGTTTTTTGCCCAGGAATCGCCATTTTCATGAAACTTAGCCATTTTGTAATGCCGATTGCTGAAGAATGGAAAAAGACAGAAACACATTTTTTTTCTGCTGAAAAAAAAGAGTCCAAACCTTATTTTGGCAGGCTCCATGTTTATATAGCATTAGAACCAAATATTCTGTGGGCCTTGCAAGATCAGTCAAAATCCAGTAAAACGCTGGGATTGAGGGGGTTGCTCCAGTGAAAATGGCTGGGATTGAATGAGTTAAATGTGCCGTGAAAAACATGGTATGTACAATTCTGTACATGTAATAACGTGATGAGGTGAACCTACATTACACACTTCACAGTCACAAACAACCATACAAATGGTGTGGTCAACAATGAAAATGAGTTTTTGCTTAGTTGTCCATAGGTGTGAACATGAGTGGGAATGGTTATTTGTCTACATAGTATGTGCCCTGCAATTGGCTTAAGAACAGTATAGGGTGTACTCTGCCTCTCACCCCGCGTCAGCTCGGTTAGTCTCCATCTCACCTGTGAGCCTAATGAGAGCAAATGGTATAGAAAATGGATGGCTGGAAGTTAAAAACATGCTGACACTTCACTTGGCGGTAGGTGAAGATTTTGTGTGACCTCAGAGACCAATTTTGTCCAAATTTTCGATTAGTTCTGTCTCATTAAATATTGTAGGCACAGCTAAAGGAAGGTGGGAGGCAAAAATGGAATATGAGATATTCACCAAGCGTTGCTCGTGAACCGTCAGCTGAAGAGAAAGTGTAAAGGTCAAAGATTTATCAGACTTTGATCCAGTTGAGGGGAAGTTTAGAGTTGTGCCTGAGTGACCCGCTGATCCGGGAGCTGTGGTGAGGGATTGGAAGGGCCTTGGAAGCATATCCATCACTCACTCAGATGAATGTGAAAGCTGCCCATATAATCCCTTTAGTCTCTCTCTCACACACATACACGCATAGACATGCACTTGCAGTATACACATATGTGCACACACACTTTACCGGCCATGGGGTTCAGGGAGGATTTGTGTTGTTTGAGAATTGCTTCAAAGTGCAGCCGGCAGTTTTGCAGCATCAACTTGTCCATCTCCTCTGGGGTCAAGCGCTAACTGAAACTCCTCTTGTACACTACAAATGTAGTATGAACGTCCATTGCATAGGCACATATATGTTCGTACTACAAGCTTGGGTTTGCTGTTGTTGTATTTTTTTTTTCCTTTTTACAAAAACCGCATGGATCTTTTCGCAAAATCCAGCTGTGCTTCATTGAATATACAGTAGACGCTTTTTTTTTTTTTTTAATTCCACTCACAGTTCAACCAACAGAGAAGCAGGCAGGCACAGAAACAGGGAGTTCTTTGGAATGAGCATTTGTCGCTTTAATCATATCTTCATCCTTGTACATCTTGCTCAGGCCGTGAAAACAAACTTATTAGAATTAACATGATGCTCAATCAATAGTGTTATAAACAATACGAATCGCTCACACAGCACCAACAAAATAAATACATTTACAACATATAAACAACTTGTTAGGTGCTTGCTTTGAAGAGGTTGAACATCCGGTGATACCCCATCTTTGTGGTTGAATTTCACTGTTTAATTCTTTACGTTCTATTTAATTATGTTATAACTGTTTTTATTATTATTTTTATTTTTTTTTATCTTTTATTATTTTTGTAAGGCCTAATGTTATTGAGGGCTATATTCCTTATTGAAAACACGATACAAATGCTGTATAATATTGAACTCTTCTCTGCCCAGGTAATTCTGTCTATCGAGGAGGGCTACCGGCTTCCGGCACCAATGGGCTGCCCTGTGGCCCTCCACCAACTGATGTTGCACTGCTGGCAGACAGAAAGAAGTCATCGGCCCAGATTTGCAGATGTCGTCTCCTTCTTGGATAAACTCATCCGCAATCCCGGCAGCTTATTGCCACTGGTAGAGGACATTCAGAGGTAGGCACTTACAGGTAAAATGCCTTGATAATAGAGCAGTACCTTTCTAAACATTTGCCTGTGTACCGCTGACAACTGACTTAAAGCTTGTGGGCATTTGTTTACATTTGGCACTGGAAAAGGGACAAACCTTGGTGTCCAATAATTAGCTTGATACATGAGTTGAGATTTTATCTTGAGGAATAGCAATGGACACCCACTATTTGTGGATGGGCCATGATGATCATACGATTCTAAAAATTCTAACAGTAAGGTTTCTAGAATACTTTTCTGAGCCGTGAAAGCTGCCATTCTTTGAAATTAATTATGTTGCGAATTCAAGATGCTCATAAAAAGGTTGCCAGTGTCTGATTATACTGTGTTTTTGATTACGTCAGCCTACCGGAGTCTCCTGTGGAGGAAATGGACTACCCACTGTTTATCTCTATTGGCGACTGGCTGGACTCCATCAAAATGAGTCAGTACAAAAGTAACTTCATGGCAGCGGGCTACAACACATTGGATTCTGTAGCGAGGATGAGTATCGGGTGAGTAGCCAAGCCAAAAGGACGTGACACATCACAAACCTAATGGGAAATTGTTAGCAGTAATAACCAGTGTTACCATCGTTACCTTGAAAAAGTAACTTGCTTTATGGATTACCCGACTTGAAAAGTAACATAGATACGATCTGATTTCTTAATTTTAAAAGTAACTGCAATAGATTACACATTATTAATTACATTGAACTGACGCCGATAACGACAATTAACATAAAATTTACAATCAGTTTTGCTTATACTTTATTGGAGGTACATTTTTAACATTGACGTTTAAGCATTGTTTGTTTTTTAATTAAACATGAAATAAATACAAGCCTTTTGACTTAATATCAGTAATATTATATGTCTTTGCAGACTTCAATTAAAAGTCAACTAGAGGTGATGAACCTCCCAGTTGAGCAGAAATGTTGCTCATACCACGTCGCGCCTCAATTCTGAACTCCCTTGGCTCAGCTTTTATTTGCGAGGCTTATTCCCAGTTGTTCGCAATTCGGGGCTCATTTATCATTTCCAATCATATCATCTGCTTTTGTAATGCAGCTCACGCATTTTTGTGTCCATGCGTGCGTGTCCCCTCTCCACCCAGGGATGTAAGGCGTATCGGGGTGGATCTGATTGGCCACCAACGGAGGATTATCAGCAGCATACAGACCCTCCACCTCCAGCTACTGCACGAACAGGAGAAAGGCTTCCACGTATGAGGTCGCCTTTTCACGTTACTTGGGATGGACACATTGGTGAAGCAGATGGCCGTGAAGTCTAGACTGTGCGAGAGACACTTCACAGCCTGTGCCTGAGACTAATTCCCTTGGACAGTCTGCAGGAAGGACGTCATTGGACTGGACAGACCGCCTCCCAGGCTAGCAGTCACTAGCAGACACTTTTTCTACTACACACCCCTTACCCAGTATAGCTGGTCTGACCAGACTATTTTTAGACCGCCCAAAAGACTTTACGGTCTGGCCAAGGCCTTCACTTATAGGGGAATGTAATGCCTTGTTACAGCTGCGGTATTTTCTGTGTGGAGGTACATTATCTTAGACATGTAGATTTATGGACATAATCTACTGAATTTTTGGCGTTTCTTTGTTTTCTTGGAAAAAATATATATACCCTCACCACTTTTCATTTTGTAATATGATCATTTACAGTATCATGAAGGTGTGTGCATTACTTGACTCTCTGTCTTCGGAGTCTGGTACACTAATACTTGAAGAAAGTGGTGAGAAGCAAGTCGAGAAGATTTCTTGAACGTTAACGTGTATAGACAAGTAATCGATAATTATTAACATGACCGCATATCTATATACAGTATGTGCAGATCTATATGTAAAAGGCCTAGTGAATCAGAATCTTATTTCAAATCGTTTATTTATTTATGTCAGATCAGCAATAATCATGCAGTCACCTCAGTGTCTCAGATGAATTGTGCAATGGGAGACAAACAAACATGGAGCCTACAAACCATCCTTGTTTTGTTTTTTTATGCCACATTTGAAGCTCGCTAAACAAGATTGTTTGCCTCCATGAAGAAAAAAAAAAAGAAAAAAAAACAAGAAGAGCGATGTCAAAATTATTTAAAATGTGGATTTTAAGAGTTGCCCGGCAGAAAACTGTCACTGTTGTCTTAACATACAGTATGAATGTTCAGATAACCTATTAGTAAGTATATTATTTCCTTTGAACATATATTTATATAAATAACCTCGACTTTTATGGTTCTTCAGGATTATGACAAATACTTAGGGTATTATTCATTTGCACAAGTGATTAATGGCAGTCGGGTCAGAACTAACTGCTATTCAGTGCAAGGCCACTGGGTGCGTTTTACGGTCATTCTGATAGGCAGGCCACTGTGTGCTTACCTTGTGATCATGTAAAGATTGTGGAATTTGTGGCAGTATAGGAATCAAGTGTACATAAAAGTAGTCTGAAATGAAAACTTTTGGATCTGCAGTAGTTGATGTCATGTCGTCAGATGCTTGCCATTGAAATTATTTATCTTCATTGGGGAAAACAATGGTAAACAGGCGGTGATATAAATATGGAAAAACAAATATGAGTAAGCTTTCTTGGTGGAATCACGGGGAGTCGGCTAGACTGGCAGCTTTTCCAACTCATGACGCAGTTAACGGAGAGAGCACGAACATAAACAGCAGCATCTTAATTTATCTTGTCCGACGAGCAACATTAACATGTACACACATGTATGCCTTACAGTCTGTTCACACTTAAGTAAACACGTTGCAGTGGAATCTAAGGACCTACGGTATCCCTTAAATCCAGTTATAGACCATATCCATAGGAGTGAAAAAATTAACTGGCAGCAGAGAGCTGCTCCATTCAGCCTGTATGCCGCCAGCCATCAGGAATCAGAAAATTTTACACACACACACACACACACACACACACACACACACACACACACACACACACACACACACACACACACACACACACACATATAGAGTATCAACTGTACATTACATATACTTTCACTGGCACAAAACCATCTACAGTCAATGGGAAATATCAGATGCTGTTTGTTGAGCATGTTCTACTGCTGAGCAATGTTAGGACGTTCTTTTGTACAAAGTACAAGTATACTAATGATTACAATTCTTGTATTTTATTTTTTTATAATTTCCAAAGAGATGTTGTAGATCTTGCACACCGAAAGAGGCAGTTAACTGCAGATATTTATTTGAAAAATAAACCTGTAAAGCTCAGCAGGTTGGCTGTTTTGTTTTCCTTTTTTTCAAATAGCGAATGAAAACAGGTGGAACAACAGTTTGTATTGATGCAAATCGTTTTTAATGTACATAACTTAGTATAAAATTAAACCTGTAATATGCCGTTCTTTTGAAATGTCCTGTGTAAAGGTCTTGCTTTGCTAGCTGGCGTTGTATAAACGATTATTTTTGCGGCATTTTGACAAATTAAGACTTACAGTGGGACAGATAGAGCTAATGGGATTTTTGCAAAAATACTCAACTGTTTTCGACAAAATTTATAGAGTGGAGGCAGATGGAACAAGTGTTTTAGGTGAGGATAATAATAGCGTAACATAACAGTTTAATGGGCCTGAATGATGAAAATACAGTATTTTCCTTTGGCCAAATTTGGACCGCATGCCACTTAATATCATTTATACCAACCACCTGTAGTACAAAAACAAGCAACCAATTTTTGCCTGTTTAGTCGCCGTGGCAACAATGGAATAATCCATCCCCCAGAAGCTTCATGGCAACCTGATTAACAAAGAGTTGGTCAAAGACAAATCAATTATTTCATAAGTGAGCATCAAGGTTGTCGTAGTAAACGAAAACTAACTATATAACTGAACGAAAGTGGAAAAAACATTTTAGAACAAAAATGAAAATGACCTAAAACTAAAAAAAATTTACGATTATAAAACTATCATTGTAGCAAAAATGTACTTCATTTTCACTTCAGCAATAACAACGAGCTTTTGGGGTTCATTTTAAATGTACAATATTTATTTTGATCTTTCTGTTTGGCCATACAGATGATGGAAGATGGTCAGGTGCAGTTTATCTTTCTGTATTACAAAATAATTTAGTTATTTATTTTTTTAATCTTGCACTCCATATATTTAAAAAAACTAAAACCAATACTAAAAATAAAAAAATGAAACAAAACTCCTGTATAATCTAATTAAAACAAACTGAAGTTAAACAGCAAAGGTGAAAAAGAAATAAACTCGTATAACCCTGGTCAGCATTAGTTTAGATGTTCATTATACCGAGTAGTACTCAAGCTTCATTAAAGCATTACTCAACCAATAGTGGCCAAAAACCTTTTCATACGGTGTCACAAATCTATTGTCAGTACCATCCGTCAAATTCTATTTATTGAACTGATAAAATGAATAAGCAAGAGCCGGTCAGCCAAGAGGTGGAGCTGTTGCACCACTAATCATCTCGAGAGCTGATCTGCTGAAAAGTTCAAGTCCTTCATTCTAAACTCAAACGTTGAACACCGGTTTTGAGTAAGAGCAAAGCAGGCCGAAAGATCAGCTACAGCAGCTGCTGTTGTTGTGACTGTTGTCAAGCAGACCATCGCATTACACTAATGAATCAAATTCATCAGGAAGAAAGGCCGACGGAGGGCCACACTACCAAGACCGGGTGGTTTGCGGATCTTAATTCCTCCTAATAGGATTAGCTGTTGCAAGATGGGATGCACAGGCAACATCTCAGCATGTTGTAGTATTCACTCCAAAATACAGGGTACACACTTGTTTGCTCTGGGTTGTGACTTTTTTTTTCAAGTAATCAAAAAATTAATGGGGTGATAGTATATTTCAAAAGTGTATCATCAATTGAATTTAATGGGGCTGCTGGATAAACTGTCAGGCTGGTTGGGCCTGAGGAAGAAGGAAGTCAATGTTTTATGTTTGGGACTGGACAACAGCGGCAAAACTACCATCATCAACCAGTTGAAACCAGCTAATGTAAGTAGTTGTACTCACTAACCGATCTGAGGCTTTTAGAACTGACGGCCGCGGCAAAAAGTTCGCTCTAGTGCGTTGCTTTGCGGTCATTGAGGGATTGCTTGTTTTCAGCATTCGAATTGCTTAGGCCCATTCTCAGAGGAGTGGAAACATGTTAGTCAGGTAAAGCCTATCGGATTTGCAATACTATTTCCACGTTGACACACTTGTCATTACTTGTCTGTTTTGTGTGTGTGATTGGGTGTAGACACCAGGACAAGAAGTAGTCCCAACCATTGGCTTCAACATTGAAAAGTTCAAGAGTTCAAGGTAGAGTCTTGCATTTTGAATGTATAAGAATTCCTGTTTTAACCGGTTAATATCCCCCATTTCCAGATGATTCTGATGTGGCTGTGCTCTTTTGCTCTTTCTCTGCATAAGCAGCCTTTCCTTCACAGTATTCGACATGTCTGGCCAAAGCAGATACAGAAACCTGTGGGAGCACTACTACAAGTATGCACACACAGCATTGCTCATTTCTTACAATCAGTCCAACTCCTCAATGATATATGTCCTGGTTTCCTCCGCAGAGAAAGCCATGCCATCATTTTTGTCATCGACAGCAGTGACAAATTGAGAATGGTCGTTGCCAAAGAGGAGCTTGATACTCTTCTCAGCCATGAAGGTATGCTACTAAATCCCTGCAATGCTCTCTTGTTTGTTTCAGTGGTAGTACTAATACATAGTACGTTAAGTAGAGTCCTGGTTAGTTAACATTTCACATCAAGTACCACCCCAACAAATACTTAGCTCTCCTGTCAATCACGTGTGCCCTGCGATTGGCGGGCAGCCGGTTCACGGTGTACTCGGCCTCCTGCCTGAAGACAGCTGGGATAGGCTCCAGCACGTCCGTGACCCTCGTGAGGATGAAGCAGTTCAGATAATGGATGGCTGGATGTCTAAATGATTCAATACAAATGTGTTGTTTTTCAAAGTTCAATACAACTGAACTGCACTGAACAAATGTACTGGACTAAAAAAATAAATACAAGTTGACACACACCTGATTCCTAACACCTTGTCCTCACTAAAGGCACTCAACAAATAACTGTATCGTACGTTATGGAAAATGTAACAAAGGGAAACTCTAGTATTTAGAACTTAAACATAGTGAGGCAGTTTTCAACTTCCTGTCTGAGGGAGTGACATGCGTTTGCAATTGTTTCAAGTTCTCAGTGTGTTTATGACTCGTGTGGTGTCAATACAATAACCATATAAACAGCGAGATTTGACTGGTTGCATATTAACAATGTTATCTGGCTTCCATAACACCATGTCAATATTTAAAAAAAAAACAAAAAAAACCCTCCATCTTCACTGAGGATTTTACTTTTTCCACTGTGTTGCCACACAGATATTTGCAGTAAAAAGCTGCCCGTGTTGTTCTTTGCAAACAAGATGGATCTCCATGACGCCATGTCGTCGGTTAAGGTCTCCCAGATGTTGTGTTTGGAGACTATCAAAGACAAACCTTGGCACATCTGGTAATACTTCCCATTTAACTCTACTTCTGCTTTTTTTTTTTTTTTTTAAAGGAAGTGAAATGCCCTTGAAATGAAATGGGTGAACTGAGCAATCTGGTAATATATAAATTGGCAGTGACAGCTGCATAGACTTGAACCTGACTGACCCTTTTATACAGGTTTGTCTCTTTTATACGTTTGCCAGCTTGTTTACTCATTAGACAGATGGAAGGCAGAGGGATGAAGCGCTAGGCAGGTTGAAATGTTCCAAGTTGTGAAAGTTAACGTGCGCTGTGAGGCGATTAAATCCTCAACCTGCTCTTTTCTTCCCTCAGTGCTAGCAATGCTATCGAGGGAGAAGGCCTGAAGGAGGGGGTGGACTGGCTCCAAGGTAATGCGCGTGCATTTATAATGTTATACTACTGTCATTGCGTTGTGAAATAGACGGGTATCTTACTTTATTTGAATGAATGATGCCACCTGCTTCCTGACAACCATTTGTCTTTTTTCATACCCATAGAACAAATTGCACAGTAAGTACATGATCACAGTTCTGTGTGTTGATGTCCAAGTGGTCGTTGTAGCATTTTTGTGTTATGTAAATTAAAGACAAACATCAGTAATGTCTGAGGATCTTCACAAAAAAAAATATATATATAAACATGGGATGATTTCCAGGCACAATTTTGCCTTACCCACTCCCTCACCTTCCATGTCGTTCAGTGGCATCCATTTGAAAAGTTGCTTTGTTAGAAAATCCTATTGTGTCTGTTCATTTAAATTGGACTGAGAAGCTTGAACAACTTAGAATGTTTGTTTGTTTGTTTTCTTCTTCAACTAGGTCATGTCAAAACAATGGCGAAGTGAATGAGTGAAATGCCAATGGAGACGGTTGGACACTCAACCTTTAATCAGGAATGATATCATTCCGTCTTTGTTGTAGGACAAACATTTTCAAAGCATGCTGAGACAATTTTCCGCTAATATTATAATTTGTACGAAACAATTTTGTTCCCATTTAGGCTTACATGAAACTTTTTTTTTCATGTCAAACGTTAACACGTTATAGTATTATCATATGGATGAAATTAAAATAGTCACCAAAGGACTTAAATACAGTTTGAATGACATATTGACCTGTTTGCAACAATATCAGTACCATCTTAGTCTTTGTAAACATGTTTTTTCATACATTTTCATACTTAATTTTTTTCTGTACGCATATTGTTTATCATGGAAATAAAAGCCTGGCTACGTATTTTAAAGATTGCACAAACTCTTTTTTTCTCATAACCAGTCATTTAATCACACAGCTTTAAATTCCAAACTTTCAGACCACATTTTTGTGGCAAACGCCAACTGTGGAATCAATAGTCCAATATGAACAAGCTCTATCAATACAGCATTAAATACATGAACAAACTGCATCAAGACCTTAATTACATACAGGGTCAATGCAAATAAATATGTGCCAATAAATATTTTCCTTTGTCATAAATATTAAATCGTTTTGAAATGTCGCCATCAAGCCAATAAACAAATTCATCACTGAAATGTAACCGACACAAAGTTATGGTACTTTGTGAAATATTCTCCCGGCAACTCACTTTGCATCGTTCCTACTTAAGCAACAAGTGAAGGAATTTTGTATGAAATCGAGCATTCGCATCCAGGAGGAGACATGTGGATGTAAAAACGTCCCTGTTCTCTGGACGATTTCCTGAAAATACATCAAACCGTTAACAGATTTTTGGCGCCGTGTCATTTAAAGAAGAGACGCACTGACCCGACTTACCGTCTTCATACATGTAAAGAAACTCGGCGATAATGTCTGAGAACATGTGTTCGAGATGGCGGATGAAAGTGAATTTTTGGACCTCTGAGCTGAAGCCAACGTGGAGCTGCTGTACCAAATGCACCACCCAATTCATCTCATAGCCATCCTTTTCACAGACCTACGATTACCGGATACCGAAAAACAAGTTGACAGTTAGAATAAATGTGCAGTTTTGTTGCCACAACAGTGCACATATACTGTATTTCAAATTATCATTATTTCAGTACTTCTACTTTTTTTGTGGATGTTTTAAGATTGTTATAATGTAAAATGGAAAGGGTGGTGTGCTTTAAAGGCTGGGGAACAGTGAACAGTGACAAAATTATCTTGAATCGAATTGAATATCCAACTTCCTTTGGTATCCTGTAGTAAAACAATAATTCCTAAACGCCTTGTTTTTTGGGGCATATTTTTTTATAAATGATACAATAACATCAGTACTTACCAGAATAATGTACACAATGACTTTGGCAATGTCTCTGATTAGTCCAGATTGGGCCCTGCTTGCCAAGACAGTGTAGCATAACTTATTGCCACATACCACCAAGAGGCGGGCAATATTCTCCAAGTGCCATGGCCGAGGGATGACTGCAAAAGTAGAACACGGTGACAACCAAATCAGCTCATTCCATTTGTTTGGTATACGTGTATGGACATGTTTCATTCATGCGTTCATAGCGCTTATCTAGGGGAAAAAAACGGATGGTGTGACCAATGATCTCCTCAAAGACTGCTAGGGTTGTTTGCAACGTCCAGTCTTTCAGTTCAGGTTTGTTGAAGAGTAAAAGGATGGCCCTGGCCAGGTTCCACAGAGCATCCTGAGGCAGCTCCCGTTCCACCAGATCCTGCCAACTGATGGGGCCTGCAAGGAGGAGGAAACCCTGCCCACCTATTGTTTTACAGCACAGGCCGGGCTGAAGGACAGTCACCTTACCTTCAGTCAGCTGTGGCCCATATAGGATTAACAGGAGGTGTGCTTGGCTGACCAAAGGCCAGGGCTTTAGGAGCTGCAGGAGCCAAAATTGACAGTCTGACTGGTTCGGGGACAAGTCCAGCAGAACCTTGCGGCAGAAGTAGCGGATCTCCAGCTCTTCATAGAATTTCAGGCCTGCAGACACAGAGAGAGAGGCAATGTATGATTTTCTGCTTTTCTCAAACACGCTGCCATAGTAACGGGATACAGGTCCAGTGCCATGAAATAGTATTTGCCCCCTTCCTGATTTATGTGTTCTTTGCATATTTATCACACAAATGTTTCAGTTCATCAAACCAAATGTAATAAAGTGGGAGATGAAAAGTGATGCTATAAGTATTCCGCAGCAAAGAAGCCGCAAAACAATAGTTTGGATTGAAAAAGTGTTTTGTTTTGTTCAGGCGCTATTTGGGCTCTAAGTTGAACTCTACACTAATCTTCTCAGCAGATCAGACCCCAGACAGCAATTACTCGACTCTTGGAAGGAATTCTTGAGTATATTCTCCCATTGAAGCTTTAACACTTCCAACCAATTTTCTGTCAGTCTTTCGACAAAATTTCTACAGAATGTGTACACAAACATTTGGCTCATCCAAAACATGCTCCATGGGTTTGGGGTCAGGGTTGTGCACGAACCAGTCAAGTAAGTAGAGGCTATATATTTTGTGGGGACAAGTCCAGGCCCCTATTGATAACATTTTGAGATAATGTTAATTTTAGCCCCATACCAGGTTTCCCAGTAGTAACGACTGCCTCAATTTTATGCAGCAAATTGGTGACTTCACACAGGAAATGGAACACTCTTTGGCACTCAAACTCATCCCACCCTGCAATTATGGTCTGCAAAAGAAAGCAATTCAAAAGAAGCCGTTGTAGCATATTTTTTTCAGCTATATCTATCCATTCATCACTTAAGAGTTCACCTGCAGAAAAACCCCATATCTGGATAAACCAATGCAATTTGGTGCTGAGCAAGTCTCCTGCAAGAAGCAAGGAACCTGAAATTTCACAAAAATTAAGAAGTATTCCACATAATATCTCATTGTGTTGTTGTTTTGTTTTTCGTATGCTCTCTTACCTGTGAAAACTTGTGGAGGATACATTTCAGCCTCTCCTTTGTAGGCAGTAACATTGTGCATCGTTTGAACAATACACCTGAGACAACAAAAGAACACCATTAATACACTGTACATATTTGGATGAATATAAAGTGCACTATTACCCTTATAAGTGAACATAATTTCCCTTCCTAAATGTGTCCAAATGTTCCCTTGTCTTAGTACTTTTTGCACAACTTACTTTCTCTGTCAATTAAATTTCCAAGGACATCAATATTCAACAGTTGCTTATTTTCATTTTAACTTGTAAGTGAACCTATTAAGGCTGCAGTGCGTTTTAGGTTCATCCTCGAATTTCACACAAGATATCCCTTACATTTTGTGAATAGTGTACACACCGTAAAAAGTAAGGTGCTCTCTCTCTCTCTCTCTATATATATACATACACACACACACACACACACACACACACACACACACACACACACACACACACAAATAAACAAAATACGTACATTGATGTTAATCTCCCCAACTGCTTACCCAGGTTTCTGAAATGTTTGCCGAAACATTCTTGCTCAGGGCAATAGGTGTTATGAAAGTTTTGGTGCATCATTTTGCTCTTCCATGCCAGGGTGCTGATATAGTCCACGACATATCCATTCATCTGCTTGGACGCTAAGCACAATGCACTCACCTCTAGCACTGGAAAACATGTTTTAAAACTACATTTTGATCGAGAATGAAAAGCAAAAAATACAAAAATATTTATTTAATTCACTTGAAAACTTACTACTACTCTATTTTGATTGGCACGAGTAATATATTTATCATTGTGGCTTTATATCTATTGTATACACAGTGCATGTGCTTTCTCATACTTTTACAAGTAGTTGTGCTCTTAACTTAAATCTACGAATACGTTTAAACTTGACATATAATCTAAATTGTAGCACACTGCTACATGTTTACCAGATAGGTTGTCCAGAATCAGATGAAAAACCTCCAGTGGAAGTTTCTGGAAGAAGTTTCTGCTGTCCTTCATCTGACTGCGAGTCCTGACGGCTAGCTGACGGTAAACACAACTGGACGGGTTCGGCCTGCTGTACCTTCTTGCTCTTCCTCTCGCCATTATTGACTGTAAAATGCCACATATGTTCGCAGTCTACCATTATTTACTGGCGTATGTAATCACTGGAAATTGTAGTTAAAATACTGTATATTAATTGAGCTTTCTAGCTAGTCGGCTAGCTATACAGTATCACCATAATGTACTTAAAAATAATAACGATAGATTTCCACCGTTTTTTTTTAAATCCACACCAATACACCTACTCGTAGCACGAATACGACAACGCTATTGTACAAAAAATTACCAATTTTTTGTACTTGTTAAGCGAGACGCCGCATTACAGATGAAACTCGGCACTTGCGTAAGACGTTTTCAGCGCAAACATTTGATGAAGTAACTTTACCTGTAGAAATAACACCTGTGAAATGAGTTCGTGTTATCTGGTGGCGTCGACTGCTTTTAGAGAGTCAAGCAATCTGCTCTGACTAGTGAGACCCAACTGTAAATCTTTAAATAGTGAGATTCATTTGTAAACGTGTTCCACCAAGTGCTACTTCACAAAAAATGAATACGTTGCTCTCCCAAGTACCAGCACGATAACCAATAATAAAGTACAAGTACTTGGTAGGTTTCATTAATTTATTTTTAAAAAAAAAAAGATGCGAGTTTATTAGTCCAAGCCATTTGGCCTTTTTCTCGATGTAAATACTGTATAGGAAAAGTAAAAAGTAATGTAATAATGATTCAATGAAAGTATTGCACATAAGAAGCAAAATTTGTACATAAATTTTAAAAACAAAATAGCTATTGAATACAACCGAACTGCACGTTAAAAAATCTACTATACAGTATATGAAAAGTAAAACATGTATTGTAGCGGATTTTAAAGAGTTAAACAGGTTGTTGACTAGCTACAAGCTGAAGTCTAATGTTTAATTCTATTGCATGCTTTAAGTATAGTAAATTTTGGACAAATGTTATTGGTTACCTGTGAATTACTGTACAACTACTGGAGCTAAAATTGTGGATCAAGTGTCCCCTTGCTACTAAAAGAGCAGTTTTTCCCTCGACTTGAGTTCAACACCATTTCTCAGTCATAATCATGTTCATCAAGTGCAGGGGAAAATATTAAATATGACTGGGCAGGTATAGAATTTGGGCTCTCACACTGAACTTAATACGCAAGGGATTCACGCTTGATCCGTAAACAAACCCAGTGCAGATCAGCTTCCGGTTCGCAGATGTTACGCCGAGGCATATGTTGAAAAAAGTGCCTTAAGGGTTTTTACAGGATAATAATTCACATGTTCAAAATCTTACTATTCACCTTGTCGGCATACTTAATTTCCTAAACAGACAAACTATTGATGATGAATGTTCTCCCCCAAAAAGCTTTTAGAGGTGATTTCTTTTGCATTTTGTTTCCTTACAATACCAAATGTAAACTAAACAATGACATTGTTTAGTTGACATTTACAATTACAGTATTGCATGTGATAAAGGTGCCAAACTCTGATTTCTGGCGTACTGTTACATGGTTATCAATTTTACATTTTACATGTGGTTTGACCAAATAAACTGGTCTCTGACCTGGAATCAACCGTCACTGTGATGTGACCATCGATAAACACAATTGCCACACCCCTGACCTCTAATGTGTGTGGGAATTGTTGCTTGTTTATCCATTAGTGCGTAGTTATGAGGTTGGTGACAAATGTAAAGCCTAATTTATAAGCTCTGTAAGAGGAGGTGTCCTATACAGCAAGTCTACAAAGATTTGTATCACGCAAGACAATGTATATTTGTAGCTCAGGACACCCAAATACATTGTGTTAGCGTCGAGCGCATTGCACAACAACTACGCTCAGCTGCTAATCACAGGATTATTCCGTCGAACTAAGACTATTAGGCGTTCCACATTTAAATGGCGTCTCCCAGACCACAGGCACGCTTTACAGAAGATCATCGCCTCAGAATTGAGCTTTTCAAGTCAACCGAATTCGGAGAAGAGCTGGACAAAATCATTTGTCGTTTTCCAGCAGGTTGTGTACTTTGGCTGCAGATGGACCAGGAAGGGCAACGATGTTGTTAACAGGAGACGAGAGAACAGCTTCTGTTTTTAATGACCTCGTTGGGGCGACCGCAACGTAAGTAGTACTACCCTGACATGTGTCAAAAGCTCACCTTT